AAAAAATGACTCAAACCGATAATCAAAACAACTAACCGGTGACTCACTGAAGGAAGGACCCGCCTGTGTTTCAGTGTTTTGACAACTTCAACAAATTGGGTCGCCTCGATACAACCGAGGCCTTTTTTCCCCCAAGCCAGACGTCAAACGTTCATAAGCAGACAATCAGCAGCAAATCCAGAGTCATTTAAGGCTCCTAGTTGTGGTTAATTTTATTTAAAAGGTGAATCGGAGCTGAAAGCAGGTTGTGTTTGCCTGCAGGGTTCAGTCGCTGCTCCTGTCGTCGCATGATTGATTAAAAAAAACTATAACTGGCTAATAAATGCTAAAAACAATCGTCTAATGCTGAATTTCTGTTTCTGGGTCTGAGTCTTGACCTTCATAACGAGGTTCCTTCGTCAAAAAGTAGAAAATGCAAAACAGAAATAGTGATTAAATCTCTCCTCTGATCAGGTTGTCTCCTGATGTTTGTCTCCATTTTCCTAATATTTCACTGTTCCATCACGTTTATCGTTCCGATCTTAAAGTTTTATTCTTTTCAGGTTAATCTGTGGCTGCTAGCCGTTAGCGTAGCATTAGCCACCGTGAGACGAGCTAACTTCCTGGTTTGTGTTTCTTCAGCTTTTGCTGCTTTAGAGATCGCAGAGCTGAGTCAGAAATCCGAATCTGCTTCTGGATCACGTGTCAGCAGCAGGTTCGTCTCATCAGGGGTAAATTATGGATTAATATTAAACCACCGCCTAAATCTGCCCGTTTAAAGGTGTTTTTTCATGAAATTCTGATGATTTAAATCAGAATTCAGGCTCCTCACGCTCAGGAAATTCTCTCATACGGACAAAAGAGTGTGTTTCTGTGTCAGAAATGTGAAAAATTCATCCCACACTGAGTAAATCTTGTTGTTTTCTTGCAATATTTTGAAAGAAAAGCATCAAATTGTCACGTTAGAGTGCTTTAATTAATCAATAATCGGCCAATAAACGTGCAGATAATCGTGAAAAGGCCAAACATCGGCCACAATAATGGACCAGATGCATTCCTGCGCCTTTCTTTATTAGCTGTTTCCATGTTTTTACGACAAACAGCATCAAGACTTCATATCTGTAGCTTCAGTTTACAGATCTCATCACTTCTAGATTAATTTGGTCCAGATCTTAAATACTTCTGCACCAGTTTCTTCAATTTATGGTTAAAATGTCTGTATTAATGTAAAGCAAAATGCAGTCCAAGCACCAGGCGACCCTCCTGGTGTCTTTATGCAGCACTACCCTGGTGTCCTACATTTTCTGAGCTCATATATTTTCTTTCTGGGTGTAAAAGCTTCCTTTGTACCAAGATGCGGTTTCTACTCATTAACCAGAGTCCAGAGGTTTGACAGCATCATCCCATCCTGAGCAAACCTCGCCCGAGTTATCAGGAGACGTCCCGGTTTCACTTTGAGCTGCTGGTTAGGACGCGTCGCCACCCAGCGTTCAGTCCAGGCGTGACTAAAGACAGAAACGCTGCTGGGAAACCGGACCTGTTCCTCTTGCGGCGGCAGCAGTTGGCAAATCGAGGCCAAAGGGGCAAATCGACTTCCTGTTTTTATTTGTTTCGTCACCGCTGCTGCATGTCTGTTTTGTGGACTGTTCCTCATTAAACTAAGACATTAAACATCTACTCTTGTTTTGTTTATAATGTGTGATCCAAGGCTGCTTATTGTCAGTCGCATGGTCTGAAAACTGTGAAACATGTCGATCGAATGTGACCTAAACGACAAACATCTTTGACGCCCCAAAGACGACGGAGGAACAAAAAACCCAGAAAATGTTCAACTTCTACCCTGTAAAGCCTGAACCAGGAAATATTTGCCAGAAAATGCTTTTTTTTTTTTAAATGGAGAGTTTAAATTTGTATAATTTTAGTTAGATTCGGCATTTTTGGTGCATGAATTACGATCTATGGTGGATTATGGGTGCACTTATTGTATATCTCAGGTCTTTCAGGCAAAACAAATATTACATTGATGATGCAGAGGTCTTAAAAACTAATCACATATGGAGGCGTTACAGGTTTAAGAAGCTAAAATCTGAGAAGTTTGACCTTTTTTTTCTTAACCAATCCATCCATCCATCATCTATACACTGCAGACATCCTGTCAGGAATTTTCTCGACACCGAGCTCGTTTTCCTACCTTGACCTGTCGATCCCTCAGCAGCTGTCTCACTGCTCTGTCGGTGTCGCCTCCCGCCGCCAACCAGGCCAGCTTGGCTTCGGCTCTGGAAAGCTTGACGCTGTCGCCGGCGGCGTTCGGGGGGCCGCTCCGCTCCGCCTCGCCTCCGTCCGGCTCCACGTCGGCCTGAAAAGTCCCGGTGTTCCCCGTCCTGTAGTTCAGCTGGACGGAGGCGGCCATGGCGCAGATCTCGTCCAGCAGATGCGGCAGCTCCGACATCAGCCAGTCGCAGGGGTTGACGTTGCTGCCGCCGCACACGCACAGGGCGGCGTACACCTCCTCCGGGCTGACGTCTCGCTTCTCTGCTTCCTGGGGAAACATTGTGAAGTTTTGAGGGGAATTATTATGATTATTATGACTTTTTTTGATGTTTAATGAAAGCCCAAGTTTTCTTTGCTCTTTTCTTCTACAAAACGACATAAAAAAAGGGAGAAACCAGCATTAAAACTCTGCAGGACGCTGGTGTCGTACTCGTATCTGGTGGATGAGCGTGAGTCCGTCCTCCCTCATCGTGTTCTGCCTCCTGAGCTCCACGTTGACTCGGGGCTTCGCTTGAGGCCTCCCGCCCGGCTGAGGCTGTGTCTTGATGCCGGTCGGCGTCTGCTGCAGCGACAGAGGCAGAGAAACTCCGGCCGAGTCTTTGCAGGACAAGTTGCACATCTCGCAAACCGCCGACGGCTTGCAGTTGACGTAGGTGCAGAACTGACAGATCCACTGGGAGAAGGAAAACAACGGCGTGAGATGTCTGGAGATTACAAAACTCTGAACATAGACAGAAAGTAAATTAATCAACCAATTAAACATTTCAGAAACGATGATTTGTCTCTTATGGAGGTTTTTAGAAGCCGTCTAAATCCTGTTTCTTGTCTTGACAAGCGTAAGAGAAACAGATTCTACAAGCTATTTTAAAGCCACTTTATCGTTTTATCGGCCTTCGTACGGCGACATAATCCGATTCTAGCCTTTGAATTACTTGTTCTTTACTCGGCTGGTAAACATCAACAGCAGCCGAAAGAAAAAGGCTGAAAGTAAAGCGTGCAAAAAAGTAAAGAGGGATTTATCAGCACAATGCATATGTATAATCTGATGTAAAACCGCAAAGTTAAATGAAACTAAATGCTAAATTTTAATCATGATTTGTTCAAAACATGAGCGCTAATTAAGAATGTTAAGTTATATTCAGTGGGCATGAGGCTAAAGCAATTGATTCTGTTCCTATTTAGGTTTTTTTAATCTTAAAACACCGACAGGATTAAAGCACCAATAAGCAGAATCAGTAAAAGTAGTTGTACCATTAAAATCTTGACAACTGATCATTAAGGAAGTTTACCACGTAAATGCCTCATTAATAATTTGAGGAAGCACTCTGGATAAAAGGTGTTTCTCTATTTAGATCCTCACAATGTTTCTATTAATCGAACATTAAAACCAAACAGGTTCTATTCAGTGAACGATTTTAACCAAAACATTTTCAGTGTGAACATCTCAGTAAAGCGAAGCTCCACAGGACCAACCTTCGTTCCGGAGTCAGACATCACCGGGGCGACGGGCGGCCGAGTGGCCAGACGGGGGCGCTCACACACCTCACAGAGGATGCTGCTGCCCTGATTGACCACCGTGCAGCTCTTACACTGCCACTCTGAGGGGTCGAACACAAACAACAAGTCAGACGGCTCAGAGGAAGTTACTGCTCCACATTTAAGAAAAAAGGTCTAACGAGCTCGTCTACACTTTGTGCACAGTTGTATTTTAAAAAGTTCTTTCTTAACCACCTTTTTCACTTACTGTTGTTTCTACTACAACAAATAATCCATCTTTACAACAATAACTGCTTCATTTCCCAGGAGTAATTCTCATTTGTTGCTCAATAATTAAGCAGCTAAATCAGACGTAAAAACTAACGAGCTCTTCTAAAAGTTGTATTTTTACATTTTTGGTAATTTCTTAACGACTTTATTCACTTAATTGGCTCTTTTGTCGTATTATATCACATTTAAGCTCAATATTTAAACATAAAGCTCTGTTTTACGCGGCTGAATTCGGGTTAAAAAACTAACGAGCTCTTCTACACGTAGCCCAACGTTTTATTTTTACATTTTCAGTTCCTTCTTCACTGCTTCAGTCTCTTATTTGGCTCATTTCACATATTACATCGTGCTGTGTCTGACTTAGTTCTATGTTCTGTGTTTTATATTCTCCTTTTGTTGTGATCTTACTCCAACGAAAAACTGTCCAACGACAATAAAAGAAATTAGTTTCATTTATTCACTTATCATTTGGCTGCCAGCAGCTCATTAGAATCTGGTGTCTCTTAGCAGAAACAGAAAAAAACAACAACTACAGAACAATAAATACACAAAATAACACAAAACCTAAAAGTCCATCAGTGTGAGATAATAAATAGAATCAGTAAATTCAACTTTGACTGCAGCCAAACCTTACAGCTGGATTTAAACCCCATAAAGTTTCTGAGTCTTGAATGTTTTTCACTATTTTTCCTGAGAAAGCAGATCAACCAAAAGCTTTTTCTTCTGAACTGCAACACCCAAATTCTTTCTATTCTACTTGACTGTCCTGCTGTAGCGTTTTATCATCTGCATGAATAAAGTCTGCCGTGCGTCTCACCGGTGTTTGGCGATGAAGGAACCGACGCCAGACTGTCCTGAGCGGTGGCCGCTGCAGCAGCAGCCGTGGCGAGTCGAGGACGTTCGCAGGTGGTGCAGAGGACGGCTCGCATCTCGTTCACCGTCGTGCAGTGAGAACACTCCCACGGCGACAGAGACGGACTGGAAAAAAAAAACAAACACAGAGCACGTAAATAGTATTTATATTCAAGCTAGTCGGGTTGTTTCATCTTGAATCATCAGCGACCTTCTGCTCGACCATCTAACATAAACTATGGACTTTAAAATGGTGTCTGTGAAACTTTAGATTAACGGATCAAATACTTTCATAAAGACTGTTTGATCTGTTTGTCCAATACTCTGCAGATTCTGCAGAGAAACTTTCAGGTTTGTATCTTTAATAGTCGTTCAAACAGCCTCAAATTTTAACGTGCAAAAAAACAAGAACAAAAAAAAAAAACAAAGTGGGTTTATGGGCAATTAAAAAAATATATATATCTTGGAAAGTACTTAATTTATCGAGCTAAAATTTCACAGATAGCTTTACACATGTCTATAGTTCATAATACTGATAACAAATCATTTGTCATGTTTGAGTTTGAGAAAACACTGAACATAAATGAGAAGTGGGAAAAAGAGGGACATTTTAATCTCTTTGTATGTGAGGGCTGGAGGAGGAAATGTCAATGTAGCTTAAAGGATTCAACAACACTCAGAAAATTCTGTCAGAAAAAATACTAAACTCTTTAAAAAATGATTATTATGTCCACATATCTCTGTTATTCTGGCATTTAGCAAATAGAAATAAAGTTGGTAATCCTGACTGAGCTGAAACAGGAAAAGTTTGGTCTGGTTTAATGTCAGACAGAGAAAAAATAAAGGTTTCATGTCTTTTTATACAGTGGATGTAAACTTCTGGTTTCAACTCTCTATAACAAATCCCTTCCATAGAAGTCCAGATGTTGGTTTGTTCCAAATCTGCAGAGTTTCCTCTTTACAGTGTTTCTACGGCAGATTTCTGGGGCAGCAGAAAACATGTTTCACTTGAAGACTTGAGGAAAAACTTGTATTTGGGGTTGAAAGAATGAGTCTACTTAGCCACAACTTCCAGAGAGAGAGAGCGAGTTAAGAGTTTAGTCTCAGCTTTGACAAAAACAAACTTTCGTTGGCGTTTAATCGACACTACGGAGCTGAGCTTGTTCTCCTCACCTGGACGTTTTGGCCGGCGTGATGGCGGTCCTGCTGTGTCCTTTGCGGTCCGGATGAGAGTGAAACAGCCGGTCGCAGTTCAGACACAACCTCTGGATGCAGGTGGAGCACTGAGCGTGGACGGCGGCAATACCACAGATGCTGCAGGTCTCTGAGGAAAGCAGGCCGACCGCAAAGGTTAGCAACAAACACAGTGTTGTTCACAGACGTAGTCCTGGTAGAATCTGTCGCACCTTGTTTGGTTTTCTGTATCTTGTCTCTCTTGTGACTGGCTCTGGACGGGTGGCGGTGGTACAGGTCGTCGCAGGCGTCGCAGAAAGGCTGATTGTCGCACGACGGGCAGAGCAGAGACGAAGCGCCGCCGCACAAGTTACAGTCGCTGGCGGCCGGAGACGCTGAAGAGAAACAGGAAACAGAGCGTGATTGGTTTCTGGGTGCAACAGACAATCCTACAAGAGACTTCTACATGACACAGAAACACTTTATTTATTAGAACTTGCGCTGCTCGGTGGTTTTAATGTCATTTCAGAGCATCCACGTGGTGAACTTTTCATAATTACAGCCCCGATTAAGTCCAGTTTCAAACTCTCAACTCAAGCAGCGTATGAACCTGGTCACAGCGTGAGGTCTGAATATTATGATTGTCTCTCCTTAAAAGTCTTAAATACACATTCACCAATAGAAGTTAGGATTGTAGAGGTGTTTGTAGAGGATTTCTGGTTCGTAATGCCCCCGTTTTCACTCCCCCTCTGCCTTTAGATCACGTTTTGTTAAGCAAATATCTTGCTTTTTTATTATTATTGTTATTTTTGATTAAAAAATAAAAAAGTGAGCTTTTACAAGATTGAATTTCCCTTCTGGGATAAATAAAGTATTTTTCATTTCATTTTCTTTTTTAGAAAAGTAGAGAATTAAATAAATGATGAGTCACAGGATATCATGAGACTAATTTTGATTTATTAGATGATGGTCATGCGACAAAAACTTGTTTGCCGACCCACAAAAACAAACACCACAAAGAGAAAAGAAGCCAAGAATGTTGCTTAAATCGTCTTTCTCTTCAAATTCACAGGAACATTTTTGTTTCTCTGATTTTCCTGAAATTTTTGTAGCATAAAATCTGAATATTTCTACAGATTTCTCTGAAATTTCAGCTCGATATATAAAAACCTTTCTGAGATATTTGTATTTTTAAAATCCTATGTGGCATCATTTTTGGTTTTCTTCTACAACTTGTCATTTCTGCTCAATTAGTTATGAAACCTCAACCTTCATATTAAAAGTATTGAACATGTTTTGCTTTATATTAGTGTAACAAGCAGCTACATGTGGTGCAGAAAACATCAGCAGCTGACGTCTGTATTATCATTTCATTCTCAGTTTGTGCTCAGAGATGAAACTTTTCACCAGCTGGTTCCGCTCACCTGTTGCTGGTTTCTGGACTTGTGTGACCGCCGGTCTCGGAGCGGGTTTCGGTAAAGGAGACACGACCGGAGGTTTGTCGACCTGCTGCTGCTGCTGCTGCTGCTGCTGTTGTTGTTGTTGTTGCTGCTGCTGCTGCTGCTGCTGCTCCTCTCCAGCTGAGGTGACCACAGAGTCCCCGACCGGCTTATTCTGAGGAAAACCAGAATCACAGTCGACACTTTGGCACTTTTAAGACACGCAGCCGACAGAAACAAGGAATGAAAACAGGTGGAGGGATGAGGTCCAGCTACAGACGTCTTGTTTTATGCCGCTTTTGTCTTAAAAGCTGTTTTTGTTACCATTAAATCCACAAACAACATAAAAAAATCAAGTAATTCTGCAAATTTGCCAATAAAACACACACAAAAAAGGAAGAAATAAAGAAACCATCCGTATATTTAATTCAGTCTTTACCTTTCACACCTTTACTATCAAATTTAACGACAACATTTGACATGGACTTGAACATCCCGCTGCTGGGAACGTGTCTACACACCTGCTGGATGACAAATGGGATGATATCTTTGAAGTGTTCTACGTGAGGATGGGTTCCCTAAACAAACGGAGACACAAGAAATGGAGCACGGTGAATCCTTCAAACAGAAACAGCTGCACACGGACGACGGCGGCGGCGTCACAAGGGAACAAACCTTCACGATCATGTCCACCTCCGTGCGCAGCGTCATCACCTCCAGCGTCACCGCGGCGACCTTCTCACGGTCCGGTTCGCTGACCTCATCGGGAAAGCTGAGGCCGTCCACCTGCTGGTTGGTGTAGCCGTACAGATACAGGACTCTCCGGCCGCCCTGTGGGCAAAACACAAGCTTGAAGTCTTTGCTTTTAGTTGATTAAAAAGTTCTTTTAAGTTAAAGTGAATACTAGACATGTGAAGTAGGTGTTTCTTAAGATTTAAATGGTTATTTCTGCAGGAAAATCTGCCGGATTTGAACTGAAAAGTTTCAAAATTCACCAAAATCTCCTGTAAAAGCCAAATGTCGCTGGTTTTGCTCACCTTGACGGCATCCACTGTGGTTCTGAAGACGGGGTTGTTGTGCTTGACGCTCCTCCAGTACCTGGGCCTGGCGGGGCTGGTCAGGTTACAGCCGTACTTCTCCAGGATGCTCAAGGCCTTGACCAGTCTGCTCAAGATATCCAGCACCTGATGCAGAGAGAAGGCTGCTGAATGAACACCGACTCCAGTCAACTGTTTATTGTTTAAAGTCCGTTTACATCCCGACACATGGAGGTTACAGTCACTACCGACGGGAACGTTACCTCGTGTTTGCTGCGATCCGCCGTGTTCTCCTTCAGCATGGCCTCCGCCGTGAAGTGGCGGTATTTCTCCGACAGAGGCAGCGGGATGGCGGCCATGGCCTGGACCTCAGCCTTCACGTCCTGGGCCGAGCCGGAGGAGGAGAGCAGCGACTGGGCTCTTCTCCGGAGCTCGTCCATCTGGACCGACGGCGGGCTGCTGCTCATCGCTGTCAAAACGCAACAAGTGGAGATTTAGAAAACATTTAAAGAACTTGCAAAGGAGAAAAAAATAAAAAATAAAAAATACACCAAAATTGTCAAATCACAAAGGCTGCAATTCAGGATAATCGTTGTGCAGCCTGCTGACCCAGAGTTTGTTTTTAATTATTGATGTTACTTGATGTTATTTAACTTGATTTCAGACTGTGGGTACACCGTTGCCTAAAGAAGTCCAACATCCCAAAAAAAATCTGTGATTTTGTTTAATTCATTTGGTAGAAAAAAATCCTAAGAAAAGTTTTATTTAAAAAAATAACAAAAAACTAATAAATAAAGATATCAAAGGGACGAAAGAAAGAATCAGACAGAATGTAATTATGATACAACAAACTACAATGAGCTCCAAATATACACAAACAAACTATAAAAATAAACAACTAACAAATACAAATATAACGTAACCAAACAGTCAAGCAAATTCTAAGAAGCAAACTAACATAGAGCTAAAACAAGGAATTTGACTCCAGTGAAGTTCTCTGTGCACGGTAGTCAGAAAAAAAAAAAAAAACTAAACTAAGTACTAAAAATGAGGTAAAAGTTGAGGAATAAAGAAATAAACTAGAATAACAAAAATAAGAGCAATATAAACAAACATAAATAGCAGCGTTTACAGTGTGTAAGTGACACATATATTATATTATATTATATTATATTAGTTTAAGTTAGATTTTTTTTAACACGTTGCCATTATTGGTATATTACATATATGATATTATATTTTTGGCAAAGTGTAAAAAGAATTTATATTTAAATACACATGCATATATAAATAATAATGTGTCAAAAATAAGTATATAAAGTTTTTTTTTAATGTATGTATAACTCAAAAAATCGAACTCAAGCTGATGTATTTATAAACAATGGCAACGTGTAAAATAATATTTAAATAAAAATACATATATAAATAATAACAAGTTAAAAAAAATATTAAAATGTGTAAATAAATCAATGAATAGTTCTATATAATTAATGACAATGTCTAAAAAAAACAATAATAAAAACAAACTATATTTAAAAAATAAAAAAATAAAAAATGCATACATGACTAATGGAAGTGTGTCTCCCCCCCAAAAAATAAAAATCTAAATCTAACTCATATAGTGCAGCCCTATGTTTTATTTTATTTCACTTTTGTCTCATTGCCTTGTTTATTTATGTCTCATATTCACATGACATCAGCTTCACCCTCCTCTCTGCTGGAGGCCATGAAGTCACATATTAATGTAGAAAACCCTCCTTAAACCAAACTGTCAACATCAGACATCAGTGAGCAGATAACTACTAATAAACCAGGAATCAGGATCAATCTTCCCACACTTCAGCTCTGTTTCTCCTAAATTTCACTTTCCATTCCTGCACATGACGACACGTCCAGAGGGAAAGTCCAGGCTCGGTTCGGTTCGGAGGAAAGCAGCTGGAATCACGGACATCAGCCATGTTTGTTTACAGACACACACCGAGCAGCAGCAGCGCTCCGGCTCCGGTCCTCCGCCTCAAAGTGACAAACATTAAGCTAGCAGACGTCAACATGCCACCGCAGCCGAAAACGAAACTTTACACCGAGCCGCAGAACTTACCGTCGCCGCCGCTGGGCCTCCGGTAACCGGTTCTGTCGTCGCTCCGCCCGCCGCAGACGGATATCCCCGCTGACACCGGTACTGTTACCGGGTTTTCACCTGGTACCAGCCGTTAAAGTCGGAGCTTCGCCGAGCTGCTGCCTCCGTCTGAAGCTGCTCCAAAAACGCGGAACTCCTGTTTGAGCTCCCGCTGCACTTCCCGTCCGGCTGTTGCATTTCAAAATAAAAGCGGAAGTCGACAAAAATAAAGGGGGCAGCACTTTATTGGCCAAGTTTATACACGGAAACAAGGAATGTGACTCCAGTGGGTCTTAGTTCACTGTGTAAGTAGGAAAAGAAATAAACTAGAACAATAAAATACGATGACGAGCAATAAATAGAAGCTTTTATAATATGTGTGTAAAGGAGCAGCATTACTGAGGAAAATCTATTTTCTGTGTTTTGTGGTTATTATTTAATTTAGAACAAATATTTAACACAACACAATAAAATATATTGAAAATATGTTGGTTAAATTACTCAAGTAAAGTATTTATTGTGTATTTAACACTTTTAATCTTATTTACAGAGTTAATTTTTTATTGTTATATTACCACAGTAGTAATTTTTTTACATTTGTTTTTATTTTTATTATTTTATTAATGTTGTTTACTATTTTTTTTATTTTTTAAATATATATGTTGAAACTTATTTTTATTTTCTTTATATTTTTTAAATTGTTTATTCTCTTTGCTATTTGATCAGATCAAATACCCCCAAAAAAGCATTTTTCTGCATTTACGGACGTTTTATTGACCAATAAACGAGAAAATAAATTAATCAACAATAAAAATACTTATTTGTCGCAGCCCAAGAATACAAACAAAACTCTGGTATTATTTCTGATATTTAGGCTGCATGTGTTTGTCTCATATGAAGTAAAATATTGTTGATTAATACCACAAAGGGGAATTTTTAACCTCACAATTGAGAGTAAGAAAAGAGGATAAATCAGAAAAACAGAAGAAGGATATGAAGGACACACATTTAAGGATGTTTGCATGAATGAACTGCACTTGAGATCCTGTTTTGACTGCAGCTAACAAGGTGTACAGTTGATTTTATACATAAAATAAAAATAAAAACGTCTTTTCCAATCATCCTGTGGCCTGTACTGTTTAAAAATCAGACTGTTTGATGCATTAATAACATTATAGGAGCTGCAGTTGCATTGTTAGGTTGAATTGTTCTATCTTAGGCTATTTAAACCTATTAAAGCAGCTGGATTAACTCTAATTTAGTTTAAATTAAAGCAGAAACATGAGGGGAGCTGCTCTCCTGCCGCCCTACTTTGTGCGGAGGAAGGAGACGGTGGGAGGCGCACACCGCCTCAAAGAGCGCAAATCGAAAGTAACCTGAACGAGGAAATCAAAAAATCACACGGGACCGACATCTTGACTTGAGCTGCTGCCGAACTCGTCTGAATCCAGTTTAAAGAATCCGAGCGGGTTCGTTTCTTACATCCAGCTTAAAGCAGAACAAAGTTCGCTTCGTCATGTCGAAGGCGTCGACTCTGAGGATCAGCAGCACCAGCGCGAGGCAGGTGAGTCTACCTGCAGGGACTCCGGGTTCCCTCCGATCAGGGCTCCAGCTGACATGAAAAACTTGTGTTAAAGTGAATTTAATGCAGATTTAGGCTTAAATATTGAGACAGAGTCGGTTTGAGGCGCGTAAAGCTGCGGAAAGTCCCTCCGGAGAGGAAAACGAAACTAAATCCGTGACTCAGCAGCTTGAAAAGAACTGACTTTATGTGGTTTTATTTTCTGTTCAGGTGGAAAACTACCGCCAGGCTCTGTACCGGGAGGTGAGTTCAACCGTTTAGATGTGGACTGATGCAGGTTTATCACCTGCTGCAGCTTCTAACGAGACTTTGTTTCGCTTCCAGGCGGAGAATCTGTTCTCCAACATCATCCCCCAGAAGATCGTGAAGCTCGACAACCTGCTCAAGGTTCATTTATCTCATTTATTGTCCCCAACAAGTGCCAATTATTGTCCTAGTTTATAAGATTACAGATAATAACTAATTTTAAAGTATTTATTTACATGTTTAGGGGCCAAAATTATAAATAATGTCCACGTGTTTGCAAATATTAATTAATTCTTTGACAGTATGAAGTCATAAATGACAGCTTCACTGTGTTTAAATCTGTTTAAAAAAGTCAGTATTTCACATGTATTTTCTCATATTTAAAAGACAAGGACTGAACAATGGTAAAAGCAATAAATTAATTAATTAATAAACTATTATTTTACCTGTTTTTAAAAAAAAGATAATTAACATCTAGTGAAATTACAGAAAAAAATGTTGACTATTAAAAAAAAAAAAAAAAAAAATAGAATAAAAAAATAACTCTGTACATATTGTCCACACCTATAATCTGTATTTTTTACAAATAGTAATTAATTTTTTAAATAATATGTGACCACAAAACAACCTGGTTTTAATGTTCCTAAATCTGCTAAAATATATAATAAGTTTTTTACAGATTTTTGCAGTTATTTCAAAGATAAAATATTTATATTAAGGACTTAAAATAGTTTTAAAAAATATTGTTCATTTTGTAGATTTCCCTTTTTGTTAAATTACAGATAACTTTTTTTTTTTAAATTAAAAAGTATTAATTTTCACGTCAATCCTAAAGAAAGGCTTAAAATGAAAATCAAAATCTGTATTTTCTTTAAAAGTAATTAATTCTTTTTAAAATATTACTGTTTCTACGCTTTTAAAAAAATCATTATTTTACAGGTATTAGATAATAAAATATTTTAAATTATTTGAGAGAAAAAAATAGATATATTATAATGATAGAGAAAAAAAAACAAGGTCACCGTAAATAATGTTTAAAACTCACTTTTTTTGTATTTAAATCAGCCAAGACATTAAAATAATTTACAGATATTTGTTGTTATTTTTATTGTTTTAGCAGCTTTTTTAGCAGATTGTTCCGTCCCCCTGATAGATTATATTTAAACGACACCTTCACAATGTTATACAGAGAAACGGAGAAAATCCAAACCCTCACCTTACCGAGAACCCTTCAGCAGAACCGGGTTCTGGGACGGCGGCCGTCTGCCTTGTGGGGCTGAGGGTGACGGAGAGAGAACAGGAAGCAGACAAACAATAAACACTGAGGAAGCTGCGACATCAAAGCTGTTTCTACTAAAAGTGTTACCAACCCAGACCTCATCATGTGTTTTTATTTTCCAGCATGACGCCCTGAACATCACAGACATGACGTCCCTCCACGCCCCCCTGGACATCCCCATCCCAGACCCTCCTGCCCCGGAGGACGAGGTGAGAAGTCAGATTTTGGACATTTAAACCTTCATTATTAGTTTGTTTTTTTAGGTAATTAAACACTTAAAGCGGCTCGTGTGCAGCAGCAGTTATCAGTTACTGATGTGAATATCTTCTTTAACATATTTAGCTTCGTTTGAGTGAACTAAACACATTTATCGTCCAGTTTAGTGTCAAATATCTGATTATTGCACAAATACTGACACAAATACTCTAAAATCTGCACTGAGAAGTTACCAAATGTGACAGAAAACAGGTTCTCACAGCCAGTTGTGCTTCTTTAGTGGTGAAAACTGTTTCCTTCCATGATAATAAGACGCATTTATTTGCAGAGTAATTAATCAGAATTAGTGCCAGACATGGATTAGCTTCTATGGCTAACAATCGTTTGGTTGTTTGGATGAATATTTGTTCCTTTCATCCAGTTCTGTGGTTTTATTGACAGATTCACAGCTGACCTGATGTTAAAAAGGCTCCACAGAAGATTAAACATTAAATTTACTCCTAAAACTCAACTAATGTGCACAAAACAGCCTCCACATTTAAATGAGGTGCAGTCAGCTACAGTCCAGGCTGAACAATCTCAGGTTTTCTTTGTGCAGTGGGAATGAATCGAGAGTTCAGATGAGTTAAACTAAAGCTGCACGACCGGTTCTGCAGCCTGAGTCCTGCCTGTAATAATTAAAACTGTTGAAAAAGTCCTGAGGAACAGGGACAGACTGTCTTTAGGAGTGTCTACGAAGCTCTTCCTCAACAACCACAGAAAAGCTCTCAAGTAATAAACATTGCTGAAAAACACAAGCATGAAATTAGGTTTTAAAACCAGAAAAATATTATTTAAATCAGAAACTTTGCAGCTAAAGAAAGCAGAGTCCTCGTTTCTTCTTGTATATGATTGAATGTTGGTGGAAAAACACATTTAAATCTATTTTACTTACAGCCGAACACATAACATCACATTAAATAACATTTTTAAAACCTTCAACTAAATAAATGCAAATAAAATGTTTAATTAAATCACATTTGTCTCCATTTTTCCTAATTAATCACGATTCTGTGACGTTTACGTGACAAGTTATGAAGCATTAAACACAAAAACAGCAGCGCGATCTGAAGCTTATCGACGTTTGATTCTCTGACTGAATGTTTCAGGAAATGGAGACGGACAAGAACGAGGACGAGGAGAAGAAGAAGAAGAAAGGTGAGGCGTCGCTCTCGTCTGAGTCGGAGCCCGACGGCCGGGAGGCGGCGTCAAACTAAATCTTGTTTTTGCTCCTCAGCTCCGAAATGCGGCTTCATCAAAGGAAACGAGAAAATCCAGGAGCTGCTGGACTTGATCAAACCAGAGATCGTCGCCTTCAGAGAGACTCTCATCACTGTAAGTGGATCACAGACACTCTGAAGGTCGAGAACGATGGAAAACACCTGATTTGACTCACTGTGGGCTCATCGTTCACTTCAGTGTAAAGTCAGGAATGTCTTCTGTGCAGCGTAACACAACCATAAAGCACTAAATCATGACAAAAGAGAAAACGAAAGATGGAAAAATGGAAAAAACCTGCATGTACAACTTTTCTGTTTTGTTACCAACACACCGTAACTGTTTTTATAACCATTTGGAAACTTTTAGAGCCATTTCTGCTCCACCATCTCTGATTTGTCGGATTATTTTTAAGCAAAAATACAGATATTTCTAAAGATGTTTGCACAATTTTATCTTGATATACAATAAATATTTTTTGAACGTATATATTAATACCAATATTTTTGTTTTTCTGGTGCAACGTGTCATTTCTGCTCAATTAGTTGTGACAGTACAACAAAAATTACTCGTTTTTAAAAAAAATGTAAACAAACATTTAATATTAAAATTGTTCTACAGGTTGTATTTTATATTTTTTCATAAGCAGCAACATGTGATGCAGAAAATATCACTAGTTAACATCTGATTTATCAGTTTCTTTGTTAATTTATTTCCTCATATTTCACCTCACCCATGATCAGAGGTGATTTGGTCTACTTGTCTAATATTGTAGATTAGAAATAAAAGTGAAGATTTCAGGCTTTTATTTTGAATATTTCCTGAGATGTTGTCGTTCAAACAGCCTCAAATTTCAATTTAAGAAAAAAAAAAAACCTGCCGACAGTGGATAAGAATCTCAGAAAGGAGCTAAAATTCACAAATATCTTTATAAATATGCAGATTTTAACATAGAATCGAGCAGAATTTATTTTTTAAAATGATGATTTCACCCTTTTTTCACACTTTCCGGCTGCGAAATTGGATAATTTGGGTGATTTAAGAAATAAAAAAGCAACATGACTATCAAGCGTTCAGAGGGTTTAGTTGATATTAAAATATGATGCTTTAAAAATGAGAATGAACCTTGTGCTCTGTCCCGTAGCTCACCTGCTGGATTCAGCACCTCATTCCAAAAATAGAAGACGGAAATGACTTCGGAGTTGCCATCCAGGTACAATATTCTTCTTCTTTTACATGTTTTCATGTTGCATCTCCTTTTTTTTATTTATTAAATGTGCTTTTTTTCTTCTTGACCCACAGGAGAAAGTGTTGGAGCGAGCCGCCGCAGTAAAGACCAAAGTGGAGGGTTTTCAGACCAACGTCAACAAGTAGGCTGGATTTACATGATTCTGTTTTCTGGACTTTTATTAGAGCTGCAGGATTTTTTTTTTTTTTAAAACTGTCTTTGTTTAAATCTTCAGGTTCCTTTTAGATCGGGGGGACGCTGTAGCCAAAGCCTCCAAAGAAAACCATGTGGTGAGTGAATGAGGGTTTGAAATTAGCACATAAATATGCTGATGTTCTAGATTTTTTTCAGCTTATTTGACAGAAATCTATGAATTTCCCTGTTATTTCTGACAATTTGGTTTAAAAAAAGTTGATTATGCTTGAATAAATTAACAAAACTGATATATATCTTTTCTTATGACACCAACATTTCCTCTATGCAGGAAAAACCTTGTTGAACAGCTTCCAGGAAACGACTAAAACCAGCACTGAACGCATCATAACGACATGTTTTGTGTATTTAATTCCTCTAAAAAGCTGAGTTTCCTTCACTACGCGGCTCATTTTGACCGTCCTGATGCCTCAAACGCTCTCTAGAGGACAGAACGTGGATTCATCCGCTGATTGTCCCCAAATATTTGATTATTTTCTCCATTAATTTGTCTCTAAAATGCAGGAAAATTCTGAAAAATGTCAATTAAGGTTTCTGAAAGTTTTACCCACGACCCGAAAATAACAGAAAACAGAAAATAATCACATTTAAGTCGCTGAAAATCTGAGAATTTTGACTTTTTTTTTCCCTAAAAGAAAAAAAAAAAGACTCAAACTGATTAATGAGTCAACACTAAACAAAAGCCTGTTTACTTCCTCCAGCTGGGACTTGTTTTTATCATTTAAACGACGTATTTGTGAGCTGATTCTAAAGATTGATGTCATTTATTAGAAAGATAAAAGCTTGGAGCACGTTGCTGGTTTTCTTATGCAGCTGTGAGGAAAAGTCAAAAAGCTTCTGCCTGAAACTTTAAATTTGAGAAATAATGACAATAAACGACTTTAACTCGTCTCCCTCAGATGGATTACCGCAACCTGGTCCACGAGAGGGACGAGAACATGTACAGCGACATCAGAGTCATCACTCTGGACCTCCGCGGCTTCTACGTAAGTCTGACTACGAATAAAATACTTTTTTTTTTTTGACAAGAATTATTGGATCATTGTTCATATTTGGGCCTTAAACTGTTCTGAACACATAAAAACTGATTATTTATATCATGTTTGAAACTCTAAGGAGGTTTAATTACAGTATTAGAATAGAAAATAAACAGATTTATGAAAATATTTAGTTTAACTTGTGTTTAAAATGTCTGGTTTCAGCCTTAACCTACATTATAAACACATCTGAAATCCAACTAATTTAATGTAAACTCTTCTTCTGGAAACATTTACTTCAGTAAATATACATTAGTTCTGTATTTCAAGACAAGTTTCATGTGGAAATCTGACTTCTTTCCTCTATAAGGTTGGAAACTATGAGTTAGGATACTATTAATGTGCTTTTTAGAGGCTTATTTAGTGGTAATTTAATGTGAATTCTCAATTTTGGAAGAGTTTACTAAAAGTAAATCGACTGTAGTCTTGTATTTAGGACATGTTTAGTTTGGAAATCTTACTTCTTTCCTCTAAAAAGGTTGGAAATTGAGTTAAATGACTATTAATGTGTATTTTAAAGGCTTATTCTGGCATAAATTTAATGTAAAAATAGCATTTATTCAAGTAAATAAACTGCAGTCTTGCATTTAAAGTGATGTTTAGTTTGGAAATCTGACTTCTTTCCTCTAAAAAGGTTGTAAACTACTAGTTTAGTTATGACTAATGTGCTTTTTTTTAAGACTTATTCAATGTTAATTTAATGTAAACTTTTAATATGAACACATTTGCATCAGTAAACATTCTGTAGTCCTGCATTAAAGAGATGTTTAGTTGAGAGATCTGACTTCTTTCCTCTACAAAGGTTGGAAACTACTAGTTGAGTTAAATTAATGTGTATTTTAAAGGCTTATTCTGGCATAAATCTAATGTAAAAATCGCATTTACTCAAGTAAATAAACTGCAGTCTTGCATTTAAAGTGATGTTTAGTTTGGATATCTGACTTCTTACCTCCAAACGTTACTGATAATGTTTTGTTTTATTACTGATCAATACTTTAAAATGAATCAGAGCATCTTTTAACTTCTGAGTTTCTTTTTTTTTTTTTTTTTTTGCTGTTTTAAGACTTTCGTCCACTTTTCTGTCATCCACGGACATTAAAACACCTTTTTTTTCAACCCCTTTTCTTCAGGCCGAGCTTTACGACATCACCAGCAAAAACCTGGAAAAGATAACCAACCCGAAAGGAGAAGAGAAGCCCTCGATGTACTGAAGCTGCCGGAGAAAGGAGGCCGAGTTCTGGAGGCGCCACTGGGACAGAACCCACAACCCTCTGCTGTAATGACAACCTGGTGAATTCAATATCAATCATCTCCCTCTGTTCACCCATAAAACATTTAAAAAAAGTAAAAAATGTGATTCTCAACTTTGCTTTTCCAGTTCAATAAAACACCTGTACCGTAGTTTTATCTCTTTTGTTTGGTAACACTTGAGGATTTATGCACTAAATTGAAGTCTTTGGACGATGAGCGAATAAAGAAAAGCTCGTTTTTTTTCAGATTTTGTGAGATTCTTTGATTTATTTGTAACAAAAACAGCTTTTTTTTTTGTTTGTCATGTGTGAGACACGATGCGCTTCTCGTTTATCAAACACTCGGTCAGGAATCTGGCTACAAAAATATTTTCGCTCCCTCGAGATCGAGAAGGAAAACCGGTAATAACAATAATCACATAATAATAAACTCAGGAATACCAACACAGGAAAGGCTTTTATCCACAACAGAAAACCGTCTCAGCGTCCAGGGGTTTACACTTCAGGTCCTTCTCCACCAGGGATGAGCTGCAGAAGAGGAAATAAATTAATATGATTTAAATGATGAAGGCTTTAAACAACCAGAACGCAACACCTGGAGGATTCAGAATGAAAGGTCCCGTCTTCCTTTGCCTACCATGGTGATGTTATTGCCATTGAGGAGGATCTGGTCCAGTTTGGTTATTCTTCTTCCCTCTGGTGTGATTTCACTGGAACACAAAAGAGCCGAGTTAAATCAGCAAATGATTAAATTAAGAAACACTGTGGTTCCAGCAAAACCAACATTTACTCACAATTCTGTCACATCCTCCAGGACCATGTCTGGAACACTGGGTTAAGGACAACGTGTTGTTTAACAGACAAACAGTAAAATGAGCCCATGTTCAGGGGCTACAGTCCCCGACACAGAGGTCATGGGTTTGAGTCCCACTCATGGCCCTTTTCAACACGTCCTTCCCCCATTCTTCTCCCCCACTTTCCTGTCTCTCTCTCTCTCTCGACTTTCATATCAAAAAAGGCGACAAAAGGCCCCAAAAAAATCTATAAAAAAAAAACAAAACAGTAAAATGACACATTAAGTAAAACAGAAGCTTTTCAGAAAGGATACTGACAAAGTCGTCGAAACCCAGCAGGGTGCCGACGATTTCTTTGTCGGTTTTCATGACGATGTGAATTCGGGAGCCGATACATTTGTCCACCAGCTCTGCAAAATCAAAGACAAAGAGAAATTACACGTTTTAATTTCATTTCCTACTTTTTAAAAAAAAAATTCCTAATTAAGTTCTCAGTTAGTTCGTTACGTTGCTACTTAAATCATTTGTTTGATCTTCCTACACTTTTGTCAGTATTCGTTAACATGTTGGTTTTCTGTTCTAGTGGCTCAATGGTTTGTCTATAAAATGCAGAGAACTTGTTAAAGGCAGCTTCCCACAACCCAAGGTGACATCTTTAATCAGATAAAATACAATATATTCACTTTATTGTGTCATAAAGCTGAGAAAAGCAGCAAATAGGCAGTTTTGAGTGGATAAGTACAGAATACAACAGCCTCGAGACAAAATTTAAAAAGATAGATAAAACCAGATTTAAAAGGATTAAAACAAAGTGGAACAGGATTAAAATAAAACTGTAGAATACAAATACCAATGCAGCTACAGCGCAGCGCAAGAAAAGAGAGCTGAGAATGACTTCAAATGTCTGTGGTTGGAGTTTCAGATACGTGAAGCACAAACAGTTATAGTGTTTTAAAAAAAACACAAACCTGAAGTCACTAAAATATGGATTGTTGTCCATTTTTATGCTTAAGAAATATAAATAGACTCGTAAATTTGACCTCACAAATACTGATCTTAGCCTCAAAAATCCAGTATCAGTTGTGCCATCAGTTTTCTATCTAAGGATCAATTAATTAAATAGAACTGTTTCCTCACTAATTGATGAGTTGTTCTATGAATTGCTCTCCTGTTGGAAATCTCAATCAACACAGCCTCCTTTGATAAACCTGCTCTCTCTCTGTCTAGCTACTATTTACTAGTTTAACAGGGTATTATCAGCATATTTCTTAAATTGTTAAAATAAGTACACTTAAGTTTAGCTTTAACACAAATTGTAGGTAAACTGCTTTGTTTCGAGGTGCCACTGGTTCTGGCTGTCACATAAGTATTTAACCTCATACATTTACTTTATATGTTCTGTCCTGGTCCCATATTTTCATATAAATAACAACGTGACAGAGAAAAGCAGCAAAGTTTTATTTAAGAGGCTAGAATCAGAGAATATTTTTGCATTATTTCTGTCGTAAAATTCCTGAAGCGATGAATAAATGATAAAAACATCGACTCACTAATCAATTCAGCTCTAGTTATCACACAGTACAGCTGGATTTTTACTTCTCTGTCGCTTTAACAACCAAAAAACAACAGTCTTTGATTATTTCTATCATTTCTGGACTTGTATTACAGATACTGTGCAGCCACTCATGTACATCACAACGTTAGCTAGCTAGCTGCCAGCATGATGCTAACGCTAACTAGCAAAACATGGCTAACATCTTAATTTCCGTCTGCTGCTGCGACAAACTCCGGCCACCCAAACTTGGCGTATAATAGTTTTTATAAACGTTTAGCGAGATAAAGCAGAAACACGACATTATTTAGCATTTACTTACCCAGCGGGAGCAGCTGTGACGGGTTTGTCGTTTGAGTAGCCGCCATGTTCAAACAGAAGACTTCCGGTGAAGGCGGAACCAATCGATACAAGAACGCCAGGAGCCAGACCAAAGCAATCAAACGCGAATGACTCGTCGAACATCGTTTTTTTGGTTTAACTTTTGTTTTAAACATTCAAATCTGACCAAAATTTCACAAACTCCACTGATATAGGAGCCACGATAACAAATTATTTCAAAACACCACACTGGGAAGCAAAAGACAAGCACAATACAAGTTAAAATAAACAATAAAACTAAATTGAGGTAAAAAGGAAATTTGATGAGACAGGAAAAAACAAAGAAACGGCCTTACTGAAGTCAGCTTGTGGCTCCAAAACACTGCTCTGTGCAACACTAACTTTCATGAGCTCTTTATCAGGCAGCAGATTTGTTCAGATTATTATCAGTTTTTAATTCAGAGTTTTGTGTTACGGGACTCTATGGGTGAACCTTTTCTCCTCACCATCACATACATCTCTTCTTCTGGACTATTTAAAGAGTTGATTACCCATATTAGATAAACTTATTAATTTAAAGCAAAAAAAAAACAAAAAACAAAAAAAGTATTAATAATATATAGCTGTAAATCATCATAAATAAAACTAATTTAAAGGCCCAAAGTTTGAGTCTACTGGCCTGATCATCCAGCATTCAATCTGATATTATTGTGGAACATATCTTCAAAATAGAAAGAAACTAGGGAATTACTTAAACATTGTGAAAATATGAAGTCAGAATGTAAACATCTAATTTATATTTTCCAGTCTTTCTCCACAAGATGGCGCTGCTTGTGCCGGCTAACACATGACGTCATTCTTTGTCTGTAACAAAGAGGAGTGAATTCAGGTCAAGATAGTTCCCCACCACCGTTTCTGTTGCATCTGTTTCAGCTTCCCTTTGCCTAAGGAGTCGAGTTGTTCCGCCGTTTCTCTTTAAAATACCACAAAGTTGTTCTGTTGGATTCAAGTCAGGGAGCATACTTGTCCAGGTTATAGTTTTAATTTGTTTATTTATTTTAGAAACAGTTGTGTGATTTGGTGCTAAAATATTGCTCTTTACACTTTTGCAAACTGGGAGTCACCTTATCAACCAGTAATTTGGTCTATCCACAGGTATTTATGGTACAAATGTCATCTTCCCAACACCTTTTGCTCTCATGCAGCCAACAAAACCTACGAGGAATGAATTCTATACTTCTATTTTCATTGTGTGGCTACTTGAAGACATTAACATGTTGATTTATTACTTATCTTCTTTAATTTTTGCCATCCCATCTCAAATTGTCACATTTTTTTGGGAGAAAAAATCTGCTCGACCATCTTTAATCGCATTAAGTTTTTCATACATTTATGTATGGAATATCAACATTTCCTTTTTTCAGATTCAATTATTCAGTTTCATGTGTGATATTTCATCGTTTTGTGGAACATTTAAATTTCATGTGCCATATTTTATTATTATGTGTGATATAACTTATTATCTAACTGTTACTGCTGGCATTGCATTTTGCTATTTGATTGTGTTTTATTTTATGTCAGTAATGTACTTATCTTATTGCTTTTCTTTTCTTTCTATGTTTCCGCCCTGAGCTAGATCTGGTAACAACAATTTCCAATAAAGTTTTATTTTTTATTATATGCCCAAATTGTATGTAAAATACTTTACTGCTAAACTCTATTTCATTGTCTTTATACTTAATAATATAATATAAATTTGATCTAATAATACACATGGGGTGTACTCACTTCTGTCCTAACCTGGAACCCAAATGCTAACACTGCTAACATGCTAACAACAAGCGAAGCCAGCAGCGCGCAGCAGGGAATTATTTCGCTCCGTCCGTCGGCGCAGTGAGACGACGCGGAAGAGAACCTCCTCTCCGCTGTGGTCCCGCTGCTTCTGTCCGCGTCCGAGTGTCGATCCGCGGCTGAAGAAATCAACTCCGCTCGGCGCGCTTACCTCCGATCCCCCGAGTCACAACCGACGCCGGACTGCGCCGGACAGCAGTTTGGGGGGCGGGCGGGCAAATGGATCCTCACGGCAGGGACGAAGCGAAGGGCCCGGTGCTGCACATCGTGGTGGTTGGATTTCACCACAAGAAGGGCTGTCAGGTACGAGGACCCGCTGCGTGCTAACAGCTAACGGCGGCTACATGCTAACAGCCACTCTCATGCAAACAGCGGCTACATGCTAACAGCCACTCTCATGCAAACAGCGGCTACATGCTAACAGCCACTCTCATGCAAACTGCGGCTACATGCTAACAGCTACTCTCACTGAAGTGGCATAAAGGCGCTTTTTGCTGCATTTCTCAAGGTTTTTCCACGGAGAACTGAGACAAAGCTTATTAAAACTTACTCTATTTAACAGCACAGCGCCAACATGCTCCCAGCAGGGCTAATAATGAGAATAATTAGTGGTAATAATGACATTTATGCACAGCCTGGCATCTGCAGCAGTGACTGGAGGTTCACATCAGCTGTTTGCTCTGGGCTCACTCGCTTATATAACGTGTGCTCTGCTGCCGACTTGGACATCCTTCCACTTCAGTGTATTCAACAGCAGCAGCAGCTCACAGTGTTGTGATTACAGGCTGCAGCTTGTTCCTCACTGTCTCCAGGATCTGTGTTTTATCTGCACATCACCTAAAAAAAAGCAGCATCTGCTTTTGTAGCTGTCTGAGCACATTTCCAAGCAAAAAATCGCACAAAAATACAAGATATTCTCTGATTACAGCTTCTTAAAGGAAAGGATTTGCTGCCTCTTGGTTACGAACAATTATAAACCTGCAGTCTTTGACATTGCAATGTCTTTTATATCTGAGTGTGTTTTCATATAAAATGAATTTTGACTTAATGCATAAGAATCACTGACAGAGAAGTGAGACAGATGTACAGATTGTGCAGGAATGTGCAAATGATATGCTCAGGAATGTGCAAAATCTCACTAGAAGCAGCGTAAACAGCTTGAAATGCACTAAAGGTTAATAAATGAGTGTTTCCGTTAACAATCTTAGTATGTTTTGTCCTTGATATTTGCAGCTTTCATGCAATATTTACCCCAAAGTGTATTTTAGATTTCTTTTAATTGAATAATCAATTGACAGAAAGTGAAGTAGACATATTTTAAGATATTTTTTAAGCCAAAAGAGCCTCTCAGATGTGAGAATCCCGTGGTTTTCCTTGTCTAACGTTGTAGTTTATGGAGTATTTTAGGACCAAACTGGACATTTAGTGGCATCACGTTGGGTTTGAGTTGATTGTGGTGTGATTGTTCTGATTTTGCACAGACCAAATGATCACTCGAGTTAATAACTTACAGATTAATTGATAGGAAGAGGTGACGTTTCTATCACATCATGGGTATTTGTTGAACCTAATCTGCAATCTAGACCCAAAATAATGTTAATTTTCAACAAAATCTTGTGGTTACAGCTTCTGCTGATGGATGATTTGCTGCTTTTCGCTGTTAATTTTAGTTCCAAATTGAATATTTTCAGTTTTTGATGCTTCGCTTGGATGAAATCTGACGTTTAAAGATGTTTCCCACAGTTTTCTTTCTTTACAGAAGATGATCGCTGCTAGTTTAAAGTTTACAGTCTTGTGTTCTCGGGTCTCTTTTGCTGCAGAGGCATTGATCTCAATGAGATACTTTGAAAAGCTAAACTAAACCTTCTCTGACGTGTGTTTGTCAACAAGTTGTCACCAGTTCAACCAGTAAGCGATTCTCCCTCTCAGAAAGGTTTGTTGTGGCTTCAGTCATCCTGCAGCCTCTTATGTTTCACAGTCTCTCTGTTGGGAGCCACTTTACTGACTGATCGGGTGTCACGCAAGAAGTGTTTTCAGCTCGGCTCGGCTCGGCTCGGCTTTGTTTATCCCTGAAAGTGGAGTTTTGTGCAGCAGATCATCAACAGATGAAAAATCACAGAACTGGAAGCATTTGAATTCTTCAAGGTAATTTTCACAAACAGCTTTTACAGAGAAAAATCAGCAAAAATGCTCGATTCTCCACTAGAACAGAAATCTATCGGTTCCCTTCAGGAATTATTGAATAAAACCATTTCAAGGGAGAAATTTGAGGCTTTTTGCATAAAAAAAAATCTCTGCTTGACCGTTAGAAAGAGATGTTGTGGCTCTCAGAAGTAAAAATCGTCCACAAAACACAAGAGAAGATGACAAGCAGGAGAAAGTGAGAACTAATAAATATATTTTGAAGTCTTGTGAGTCATCCTGCAGATATTTTTTTTCCCATAAACGTTGCCTGAACCAAAGCAGCCTCGCTAGAAGTGTGCACGAGCTAAATGAAGTCTACAACTAAAAGATATAAAGAAAAGCACTAATCAGAGCCGGCTTTGGACCCTTGACAGTCAGCGTTACGTCACTTTCTCCCTCAGCTCCGCCTGCAGCCACAGATTTGACGTCTTATCTCTGAAATGTGACGGTTTTCTCATGTTGGCTTTCTGTTTGGTGTCTTCTGAACTGAATCTAACAGAAACCCGCTCGGCTCACGTTTCGCTTTTATTGTCCTCGTAAACCTGTTTGGCAAAGATTCAGTCTCGTCACTCGCTGACTCGCTGCCCTTTCGCCTCCCGCGTGACAAAAGCAGCGTTAAACAGCTGCTAATTAGTCAAAGTGTACAAGTGGCTCTAATGCATCTCTTAATTATCGTCCCCCCTTCTTGAAAATCCATTAAATGTGCCGGCCGTAAAACAAACGCTGCTGTTGTTGTTGTTGCTGCTGCTCTCCGTCTGTCTTTGTGGTCTTGAAAGCAGCTGCTGTGCACAAAACAAAAAGCAGTTTGTTTTGATGTGAAGACGAGACCAAAGCTCACAGCGGTGCCGCCGTGTTTGTTGGCAGGAACGGGCCTCCGGAGCTGGAGGTTATCTGATAGGGGTCAGCGATCTCCTGCTGGGCATCACGAGATTGAGTTGCTGGCTCTTTAATCCGGCTGCTGGCCGTCCTCCTCCTCCTCTTGTTCACCTGCTGCCCATCTGCTTCTGTGGCCGCACCGAGGAGACGGAGATGCTCGGATGAAAGATGATCAGTAGAACAAAAACAATGCAGAAAAATTTTACTGATGTTTGCTTCTTCAAAACATCACAGCCACTGGAATAAAGAAGCAGGAATTAAATGT